CTAAAAATGATAAAAAATGATAAAATGACATAGAGTTTTACTTTATATTTATGTTAAATAAATGATAATAATAGCTATTATCATGATGAGGATACTGGTGTGCGTAATGCAGTGAGTAACATTTTCTTTATTTATTTATGTCACCCCTTGCATTTAGATGCATTCCAGTTCCTTTATATTACTAAATACTGAAGACAAGCCGAATAACCTATAATGTAGAGGTTTAAATAAAGGGGAAAAAAGAAAAAAAAAATGTTTTATATTAGGTTTAGGTTATTTGTTAGTCTGGGTCACCCATTTTAGTTGCGTTCCTTATTTCCCGTATATGTGTACTGCATGTCCATGTGCTACACACGGATTTTTCTGAGTCTCTTTTTAGGCCTGTCCACTTCGCTTGGCGCCCTGTGGTATAGCCCCATGTCTACGTCTCTTACTTCTTCCATTTTGTGTAGGTTCCCTGTCCCGCAAAAAGACAAAATAGTAATTAGATGTTATTTATTAGAAGTTAGTGGTTATAGTTGTAATGTCGATTTTTAATTTACATTTATTTTTCAATCACTATTACCTGACAAGTCTTTCATTGTTTCCACAATGTAGCTAATTATTTCTCACTGTTTTGTTATCTGTTGTAATATCCAAGTTCAGTAGCATATTTTTTTGAGAAATATTTGCTTCTTTTTTATTTGTCGAATTATCTTAACGCGTTCTTGTTCATTTTTCTTGCTTTCTGTTATTACATGATTTTTTGTGTGTGTAGCTTTTTCCTTTGTACATTGGGCATTTAGGTATTTTCTTTTATCATATATCTTCTTTTTGCTGCTTCACCCATTAGTCAAACATTGTGTAGGTATTTATACATTATACTATGTATTTTCAATGATTTTATATTTGTTCAATTAGTCCACACTACCTCCCAGTTATATATATATATATATATATATATATATATATATATATATATATATATATATATATATATATATATATATATATATATATATATATATATAGTGCTTCCCATGGAGTTCTTCGTTTAGAATTTAATTCTTTAAAACGATTAATTATATTGGCTTGTTTCATTAGAATTAAGTTTGGCAATGCTAATCCCCCTCTTTTATTTGCTTTATATAGAGTAGCTTTTTCAATGTAGTGCATTTTGAAATTCCATGTGTATTTAATTATATGATTATCTATTTTCTCTAGAAGTTTATTTTCAAAATCATAGGATATATATATATATATATATATATATATATATATATATATATATATATATATATATATATATATATATATATATATATATATATATTCACTTTGTTCCAGCAAGTTTTGACTAGAGTTATTACCTATTTCTGAATGTTAGTGTAATGTATCACACTGGCGCACATCGTCACCTAGATTTTTATATATTCCCCATGAAACTTAGAAAATAATACGGGCATCACCTGAAGATATACACCTCTTCAAATCGCCATCTGCCTTCGATTTATTTTTTACTAAATTAAGATTTATTGCCTTTTTAAAACTAAAGTTGAAGAAACATTCCCTTTTCCTTAATTGCAAATATCTTTTGTTTGATTAATTGTCTTTATGGTGCTCAGATTTCAGCACGGCTAGGTACCCATTGTAATGTGGGTTTTGTGCTAAAACACATACAACTGTTTTAAAGTGCTGCATCGTTCATGCTTTGATACAAATATATCGATATAATGCCTATATTACCGACAATCAGAAATTGATCTTGCCTTTGCCAAACTTCCAAATTTTTGTTGCGTAAATAAATTATATAATATTTTCTTAGGATACTAGTTGTCTTGCTTTTATCCATTTTGTTAAAGTATAAGACACTTAATAAAATAAAAATAAAAAATCCATTTATTTTAAAATTGTTAATTGCAAGTAGGATTTAAGGAAAGAAGGCATTATTTCTGTGTTTATTATTATCCTAGGGTTTTTTCTCATATTTTGATGCTACGTAAGTTATAGGCTATAATTTAAATATAACGAAGAGAAGGAAAAAAAAACATTCACGAATATAGTGGAATTTTTCACCCGTACCCTTCTGAAAAACGAATACTGGTCAAGAACATATGTATATCCCCAAAAAAAATGACTCTGTCCTCTGCCTTTTTTTTGTTTCAGGTATGATGCAACCTTCTACACAGATGGCAATCAAGTCCAAATTCGAACACACAATTATATTTTCAACATAGTTTCTTTCATATCAATCTAAATGTGCTTTATTATACCTGAATATTCGTGTTTGAGACTGCTTATGTGTCTACCAAATTATCCGAGTATTATCGTTCATGGCAAGTTCGTTTTGTCAATAATATTTAACATTTTGAGTGGGTTCTGGTTTGTTTGTTTTCTTTTTTGTAGGAATATTTTAAATTAAAGTATTGTACCAAGGATTACATCCTATCTTGCTTCTAGGTGGTGTTTTCGGGTCTTTAAATGTATACAATCGTACTTAGTTTTAGGTTACAGTTTATAGGAAAGTTCTTATTTATACCTACCTATGTAAACTTTAGTTCTATAAAATCCCAGAGTTAAGACATGTATTCTTCTCAGGGCTTTCAATTATTAAAACTGACTACAGGGAACATAATGCATCTGGCCTGAGGTGTCAGGTAGTGGTTATGTAGAGCTTAGAAACCCAAAACATTTCGGCAAATTTCTGCTAGGCTATATACCTTTGAGGCTCTTCATTCTAGTATCTTGTTGATTTATACATGGAAGGAATTTGTTTGTTTGCATTTTTTGTTATCCTTGACCAACACTCATCCTTGAATAATTTTTAACATCTTGTTAATTGTTGGTCCTATGGTCACTTAAGTTACACACATAATGTTTATTTTTTTCACATGTGTACTGACATCTGCATGGAATCTTTTATGATACCTGGCTTTGGGACTAGCATCTGAGGTGGCATACAAAACTAAGTTAATGATTAATTCTTTGCTTTTCATATTAAATCATTTCAAGATTATTAACCTATTATGTCTTCCAGCAGCTTTTTCACCTTTGTTCAGATATCTTTTTATACTTTTATAAATAAATTTAACAAAAGGAGCAACAAGTTTTTAATGCCTGTTTAAGTGAGACAAGGACTATGAAAGAAAACTGTATTAAGTAAAGATGTCACTGTGTATCTGTGTATGCATACATGTCCTGTCCTCTCACTTTGAATGTTAATGGAGGCAAGTTGTAGAAATTGTAAATTATCCAAGTCTTAGGCTATCCAGTGTAAATTATCCCAGTCCTAAGCTATCCGGTGTTAGAAAGTAATAGTAGGACAATATAGGTGAATTGGTTTATAACACAATAACTGTAGAATGATGTATTATATCTGTCTGTGTAAAGAAATGATTTGTGGAGTATGACAGCCATTCTGACAAAGTTACATGTCACTGCCTATAGAAATAATTTTGTATTGAGGCTTTCTACAACAGATACTTTTTGGTTGATGCTATATCTTATACTGTGATATTTGTCAGCTACAGAACTTACGATGTTTATGCAGAGCATATTGAAAAAAGTACACTGATGGCATGAAGAAGCAAGCTGTCTGTGTACATTTGAGTAATAATAATGCTACATGGCAGCATAGTTCTAAATCGTTACTTTTTTCAGCATATTTAATTGCTTTAGCAAACAGTTCATACAATATTGATAACTATGACATTAAGGTACTGTAGGCTGATATATTTATACAAATACATTAAATACTGTTGCACAAGATTCACTGTGTTTCCAATTTTGTCATAAATATTTGAACTTTTAAGAAAAAGGCAGTAACATGAACTTCATTCAACACAAACATCCAGCATATGAATGATATCTATATCTATCTATCTCATATATATATATATATATATATATATATATATATATATATATATATATATATATATATATATATATATATATATATATATATATATATATAACATATGTAGCTTATTTCGTGCATAGATGCATGCATAGATACATGATATATATGGAAAAAAATTGCTTGTTAATGAGAATGCACACACACACACACACACACACACACACACACACACACACACACACACAGAGTCTCCAGTATTGTCATACATACTGGACAAGTCTGATGGAACTAACATTTTACCAGATATAAAATGCCAAAATCATAAAATGTTTCCATAAACTCATACACAGGTAGTACATGTAATGCTTCATTACACTGACACAGGTATTAATACTTCCCAAACACAGGTATTATTGTTTCCTTATACTCACACTCAGGTATAATTGTTTTCGTTTTCATAAGGAAATGCAACGTAATAAGAATGAAATAGCCTTGTGAATTATGTAAACAGTATAATTTAATCTATACATGGGTCAGTTACTAAGGAACTTGTTCTCTGCCTCAGCCAAGTCTGAGAGTGGACTATTCAGTTTCCTATGCAAAGAAGGATTCACAACATTAGTCCATTTCAAATGGCAAATCTATGAAAGAGTGAAATAACATGAAGCGCCATTGCAGACAAAAGCTGGTCCAATGAGAAAGTTGCAGTTGAAATTTTAATGTCGTATTTCAAGAATAACTTGGTCCGCTCTAGCAAAGAAATTAATAGTAATTCTCGACCTATGAATGTTAACTTTCAAACTGTAAGTGCATGAACTGTACATGACGTGTCTTAACACTTGATATTATTTTGAATTGTTAAAGTGGATATTGTGTAATGTTAGTTTAACACCAACACATCATTTTACCATAAAAAATAGTGATGTGATGTTGATTTTTAACGTAGCTTTAACAATTTTTCAGTCATATTGCTACGAAGTCTGTAGCGTGACAGTTTATAGTGATGTTTAGCACTGGGGCATCAAGCCGCAGACATGTAACATGATGTCCCACCCAGTCACATTATCCTGACACCAGGCTGACTAGTCCTAACATTGACCTCTTCATGCTGAGCGCTAAGCGATGCAGCTGTTAGTACCATTTTTGTAAGTCTTTGGTATGACTCGACCGGGGATCGAACCCACGACCTCCCGCATCCAAGGTGGGCGCTCTATCCATTAGGCCACCGGAGCGGTTAATATAAAATAGTAATTCTGACAATAAAATGTCCAAACACTGCTGTATATTTCAACAGATGAAATTTAAAACCCATATACAAAATGGAACTATCAGCACAATCAATGTGACTCAAAATGTTAAATTAAAACTCGATATATGACATTAAAATTTCAATAACTACCGTGCAGTTCAGTTTATAAGATAAATAAAAAAAACTCGACATTGGACACTGAATTTTCAACGAGTGCTGTGTAATTCAACAAATGAAATCTAAATTCTCAACATATGAAATGAACTCTTTGAGTTGATATGTAAATTAGGAATTCTTTATGTATGACATTGAAGTTTTAAGCACTAATGTTTAATTCAACAGATACAGTCAAACTCAGTTACTTTGACACCCCGCATATGTCTATCGTTTTGGTACGGTCCCGAAAAAAAATCCTTCTTTATTATGCTATTTTTTGCCCGTTTATCTCGACCTCTGTTAAGTCGATAACCCTGTTATGTCGGGCATAAGTTTCTGTCCGGAGAGACATGTGGACCCGCTCAATTCGACGAAATGCAACCTTTTAACGTTAATCTCGCAGAAATTATACAAGAAATGGTCAGCAAAAGCGATCGATTTTCACGCACAATTTTGGTAAGTTACTGCGGTAGTCACATGTTTATTTAGCATTCTTTCTGTTTTTGGTTCCTAAGAGTAACTTAATAAATTAGTTTATTAAGAACATATCATGTTCACTACATAAAATATTCAAGGGTTTACGAAGATAAGAGTGAGCACAAATTACAATGTAACTTTATTTTACGAAAACGCTGAATCATAGACGTAAGCTACATGACACCTCTATATTTCTCTTTTATTTCTAAAAGTACATTTCAGATCTAAATTATGTTCGGAAATATTATGTATGTGACAAATTGGCGGCGTTCAAAACACATCAACCTCTTTCACTACGCTTCGTTGCTAGGAAATGACCTCCGCGGTCTAATTTACCCAGTGTGGATAGATAGAAAGAAGAATGAAGATCACTGAATAAGTATATTAAAGAAATAACAAAACGAGCCCCCTTTCAATGAACAAATATAAAATTTAATCAGTTTATCAACAGAATTTACAATGAAAAGAAATCAATGACTTGGTTACAAAAGAAGGAAAATGGTACTAACATGTACTCAAATAAAAAGACAATACAAATTTCTTTAAATGTAAAATTACTTTCAATGTTAATATACTATCTTCATTACCAATGAGATGTGACCTTTGGGTGCAACGATGAGAGACTTCATCACCTATTTTATGCGGACATCAAGACTTCCGTTCGTCCCTGCTCTGCCGATCTTTGTCTAGCTGTTTGGTCTTGGATTCTTGTCCGTCGAACTCTGATTTAACAATCGTCTCTGGACTTAGATTTCGGCTCAGAATTTACTCTGATCCTGCGATTGGTTCAGGGATTTCTCAGGTGAATCCAGGAAAGCTGTTTCCTTCAATAAATAAAATGTCTCGCAATAGACAATAGGCCACATTCCCAAGTATATCTGTATTTTAACATTAATTCGGCTCAGAAAACAAAAGGCATAAATTCTGCCGCAGCAACTCATTGCTCCCTAACTCTTATGTTTACATAGATGGTCAAGGCTTGTCCTGATCTTAATTCGGATCACGCTAGGGGTGGTCAATTGAATTCAACTCAGACGTATGAACCCATATGTACCCCCCCTTGACTTCTTACTCTACAAATCTAGCAGTGTTAAGTTACATATGGTTTAGACCCTCAGATCTAACTATTCTAAAATAGTTTACTCGACCAATTAAATATTACAAACTAGCATATATATATATATATATATATATATATATATATATATATATATATATATATATATATATATATATATATATATATATACACTTAAGTGATAAATTAAATATTACAAACTAGTATATAGATATACACTTAATATTAGGTCATATTCATTTTAAACAGAATTAATCCATAAAACTATGAAACATTACCCATCATTCCTTAAGCTTAATTCATTTAAATACCTAATCACTCCTAGGTATTAAAGATTCAATTACATGCAATCTTGTCAACTAATCTAATGAAATTTTAATTACGTTCAATCTTGCCAATTCTCCAAATGAATTGATAATTAGAAAATCAAGAATAAAACGTCGTGACTAGCATTTCACTAAAATCTTGCAAAAGAAAATCATACATACATACATCATATCGAGAATACATTTGTAAATATATCAACAAATAAAATAACATATTAAAATCGGGAAACTAAGATTGCGTACCCTTTGCCGTTTTCTTTATTCGTTTCCACGAACCTCACGTATAGTCCATCTCCTAACTGAGACAACTATCTGGCCCCTTACTCTATAACGAAAACGTACTTGTTACGAATTCAAATGTAGAGTTTGTCTACCCGCTGAGACAAAACTCCCGCTTTACTGCCAAATCACGAGATAACGTCTTACACGCTTCTCCCGGAGTCGACCACTCTTTCTCAAGAAAGATTGAAGGACTGAAGAATTTTCCTAAAGTAAAACCTTTAATTTCTTACAGAGTTACGCCCATAAATCCATATTAAACAATCGGAATAGACTGTTTCCTAAACCTGTTCCGTAGAATTTTTGGATTGACAAGACAACTAAACAACTAATCATACCGTAATTATCGTTCATTTAAACACTCATATATAGCCAGCTCCCGCCCTTTAACCGGTCGATTTGGGGGAAGGGTCTTATGTCATTCTCTTGTACCATAGCATATGACTCGGTTATGTTACGTCAGCTAGAACGAATTCCCCTTTGACGTTCGGAGAAGAAATGAAAATAAACATCTATCTCTAGCCCTTTCTACTTTAATTAAGTTGACTTTGATACAACTCTTTTAACCAATGCTTCTAAGAGTTTTCAAAATTCGACACAAAACAATGTATAAAATAAACAACGATTGAGGTGATACAAGTAACTAAAGTAATAATAGTAGTAGAGAGGAATTGATAATCCTTTCTCAGAGACATCGCCCCCCCAAAAAAAACGTTGTACGTTAACATTTTTGTCAGCAGCCTTTGTTAGCTCAAAATGATTAACATATTGTCTGACAAAAATACGTTCTGGGGCCGAGGTGTCTCTGAGCTAGGATACATCAATCCTCTCGACTGCTATGTACTTATTAGTCAAAATGTTTTATATAACAAATAAAAAAATATTATATATAATGTCCTTCTTTTATTCAATCAGACATGTCGGATTCGATCTAACAAATAGATTTTGTAAAATATTTAATTCGATCAAAGCAGCGTCAGCATATACTGGTATAAAACCTAAAATAATAAATGATTACATTAAAAAAGTGGGTTATCATATATCGCCGAAATATGGATCAGTATGGTTATTTGCGACTGAAAATGATATGAGAATAGCGGGATGGGCAGATGATGTGATGACATTATTGACAATATGGTCGATATATTATTTGATAAAGCCACACAAAACTAAACATCTACTTTTTATTAGAATCTTTTTCGTATTTGCTGATCCTCATTGGCAGAATATCTGTTAACATACTATCAATAATGCGCAACTAGCGTAATAAATCGTCCATATCATATTTTATATCACTCAAGTAAGATCGAATTGATCAAGTATTTTTTTATAAGTTATACTTGCTGCTTTGAAAGCATTGATTTTAGTCGCGAGGCGAGGTTCAACTTTTTACATGCTGCTGCAAGAGAAACACCGACACCAGATATTATTAACAAAAAAGGATTTAATGATGCGCCACTTGAAATAATGCCATAGCCAGTCATTAGCAGCGATAGATATGATATCACTCGCAGTATTTTTGCATAGTATTTGTAACATTTTTTGACGCAGCAAAGATTTTTATGATAGTATCTGTAATATTGCATTAGAGCGTCAATATCTTGTTTGGGAATGTTTTCTGAAATATTAAAGTCGACTATATTTTTTAATTATATAATATTTGTTTACATATTTAAAGTAACCAATTCGGGAGTTTCAGCCACAAACTCAATAAACAACCAGTAAGTAGCTGCGGTTAACTTTTTATTATCCGCTATCAGCATAAATGTTTCTTCGATATCTTTGTTTAACACAATATACACAGTTCCAAACAAATCATCGGTTGAATGACGCCATGAAAATGTTGTAAATATACTAAATTTTGCACTATAAAACACAGACAATCTATATACACCAGCATGTTTAAGAGTGTTATTTTGCTGCAACGATGTTGCTTTTTCAGATGCGACTGTGCACACAATATATTTAATTTGTTTGTGAGTAATTTTAAAAAGATCAGTTTTCTTAAATATGATTACAATCGATTATATTTTTTATTATATAATATTTGTTTACATATATTTTTACCATCATTTAAGTAACTAATTCGGGAGTTTTAGCTATAAACTCAATACACCATCAGTAAGTAGCTGCGGTTAACCTTTTATTATCCGCTATCAGCATAAATGATATCTCGATATCTTTGCTTAGGTGGCGCTCACCAGTTATTATGTACTTTTGAGAAATTGATGTATCTAAGGTGAAGTTGTTTGCATTTTAAACATGCATAGTGGAGAGAATGTTGGCACACCTATGTACTACTTTCATGTAATGTGGCTGAAATTTATTTGGATATTGTATTTTTGGAAATTTTAAATGATCTTAGGACACTGCTAACAAAAAGGACTGCTCCCTTGTGCTCCAAAAATCAACCTGAATTTGTCTAAAGTACACTATTCTTGGTAGCTATTAAAATATGGAAAATGAATTTTGCCAAACTAAACAATACCAGCTTCTTAAAAGTGCAATGAATGAATTACCAAATATATAAAATGTAAGAAAAGTTATCGGCTCTATTTTTTACAATTTATTTCTGAAGTTCAAGAAGTGAAAATGAGCAAGTAGAGCTAGCCCTTTTTTTGAAAGGTGCACATCTGGAGTAAGGCCAAGCTGTATACTCTCTAACCC